GGGTTCTCCGCGGGGAGATTGCACGCGTGCGCGCGGGCGTTCAGCTGCCGGACGTCCTCGAGCGTGAGGTTGTCGTCCTCGAGCGCCTCCTCGAGCTCCTTGACGAGCTGCTCCCGGAGCACGATCTTCTCCACCTCCACGATCTCCTTCACGAGCACGTTCAGCGTCTGCGCGTGCAGGATCAGCCGCTCGCACTCCTGCACGTACGCCTCGACGTCCCGCGGCGCCTTCGCGTCGAGAAGCGCCCGCGCCTTCCGGCGCGTGTCCTCCGCCTCTCCCGCAATCGTCCGCAGCTGCGCGATCTCCGGCGCGTCGAACCCGAGATTCTCCACCTCCGCGAGGAGCGCATAGAGGTCATCGAGCGAGCGCTCCGGCTTGTCGATGATCTCCTCCCCGATCCCGGTGCTCATGCTGGCGTCCGCGGTGGACGAGCGCCCGCGGGACTTGCGCGTCCGCTTCCGGGTCGGCTTCCGGACGAGGATGGCATTCGCAGCCTCAAGCCATTCGTTCGCCTTCGTGACGCACTTGCGCAAGGAGTTGAGCTCGCTCAGCGGGTACTGGATCCGCTCGCCCTCTGCAAACAGGTTGCGGAGGCTCTTGAGAGGCGGACGCGGGCTCTCGTCGAGCAGCTTCTTCAGCTTCCCGCGCCACAGCCTCGGCACCGCGGCGCGCTCGGACACTTTCGCCTGGATGTCCTGGAGCTCCGTGTCGCTGAAACGCTTGCGGAGGACGTGGTTCGCCGGGGGACACTTGCACAGTTGGTCGACATGGTCGATGCACGCGATCTTGGTCGTGCAGGAGCACGTGATCTGGGAGAGGTAGCAGAAAACCTTGCAGACCGTGCACTGGTACTGGTCGTCCGCGCGGTCGGTTCCCTCCAGGACTTCGTTCATCTGCAGCGCGCGCGCGCGCGCACGGGCTTCCATCTCACGATCGGTCATCTCCTGCAGAGTCTCATTCAACCTGATGATGTGCCCCATCAGGGTGGTGAGACATGATGAGAACATTGGGGAGATAGGACAACTGACCACATCGCAGTTTGGATCGATTGCGATTGTTGAGTGATGGTGATGAGCAGCTCGTCATGAGAGAACACAGGCAGCTTCCGGTGCTCCTGGTACCGCTTCACGCAGTCGAGACCGAGCGGCAGCCAATCCGGCAGCGCAAAGTTTACTGCCTCGTTGAAGTTGAGCTACACCGAACGCTGTTAGACAGATCCGACCGGTCACAATCCGGATGCGCGCACCCCGTGGTTGAACCCGGCATGATAGGCTTTCGGGAACGTCACGACGAACTCTCCCGCGCGCTGGTTGCAGGCGTAAACGTCCACGCCGGCCTCCTTTAACCGTTGTGGGTTCATGAGCGTCACCAGCTGGAAGAGCAGGTCTGGCTGCGCCTCGAAGAGGTCAGGGGCCTCCTTCCTGATCGCTGCCTCGAACTTGTCCGCATCCGACCCAGGGATACTGTACCAAGTTTTGGTCTCACCCCAGTGCACTATAGAAAAAAAGATAAGCAAATTGAGCGGCTAATTGAGCGAATGCGACGCATACTGTAGTTGATGCTGTACGTGTAGTGATCCTGGCGATCGCTGGTTGAGCAGCCATCCGCTATCGAGGTCACAACACGCACCTCATTGTGCCAGCAAAAGGTCGAAAAAATCATTCCAACGTAGGTCCACGGGACCGTCATTCCGGATATATCAGATTTGATGTAGCGAAGGAGAGACTGAGGAAGGATGGGAATATTGTTGAGGTTCCAGGGATCTTTCGAGTACGGGTCAAGGGGATGGGTCTCCAGGGTGGGCATACCGCTGTATCATAACCGCGTCAAGGATTCGTCCGGTGCGTCCCACGCTCTCGCACTCACCTTCCATGGGTAGTGGAGTGCACGTCGGCGCCATATTCAACCTCCACAGTGTCGTTCTGGGACTGAACCAACCGCCAAAATTCTCTCTCGACGTCGTCCTCGCTGACCACCATGTTTCCGAAGCGGTTAGCATAAGGATCGTTAATAGGCACGCCAGAAAAAGGATCAGAGCCATTCGCCGTGGTGTGCTGGGGAGGGTGACTTTGGAACCATAAGCGCCGGAACTCGAGGTCCCTAGCCTGGAAGCTGGACAAGCTGTGCTCCTCGCCCTCGTCGAAGCCGAAGTCGCCGCCCGTGCCGAACAGGCAGGTGTGGCAGAACCACTGGCCCCTGGGAACGTTGCTCAAAGGCGGGTCGAGGCAGAACATGTGGAAGCCTATTTTCCTAGGCGTCACGGGCACATCCATGAGCGAGTAATAGCCGTCGCTACGCACCGCAATCGCAACCGTCACAGATGAGCATCTTCTCGCCCTGATCCTTCTTGAGGCATATCTCGCAGTGCAGCTGGAAGGGACGATGTCAGTGTGCGCCGGAGGCAAAGGTGGTGTGGCATACCTCGGACGGAGATTTGCTGTCCTGGGATGCTGTCTTCGCGAGGCCAAGGCCATTTGGGTCATTGGCTGTCGACGCCCGTCGAGCGCCTGTAGAGAGGTGTAAGAGAGTCACAACGGTAGTTTGCCCCGGGGGTCACATACGAGTGTTCTGTTCCTGCGACGCATGCCGTGCGCTTCTTCGAGGTCGCGACATCTCCGATTTGAGGCCGTTGGCATCCTTCACATCGCCCTCATCGGGTGGCTCAGATAGCGGACTCGACGTCGCTGTGAGTGGGCTCGACGGTGGGCTCTCATCGTCCATCATGGAGTTTGGGGTGCTGAGCCGGCCAGAGCTGCTGGCGGACTGGATATTGACATGGGTCTTGAGCTGGGGGTCGCGCGGCTTGTTCGGCGACAGAGCGGACGAGCTGCGGACATGCTCACAAAACTGTTCGTAGGGGAGGATCACACGGGTGTAGGAGTTGCGTATCTGGGTCGCAAGGCCTGGAATGCCGGTGTAGCCCAATAGGCGGCCCAAGTCTGCCCACTTCTTCTCCTTCGTGACCTAGCGGGTGAGTGGACAAAGGGGTCGGCCAATAAAGATCAGCCAGCGGTCAAAAACACTGTCCAACATGCCCAAGCGTACCGCTTCGTATCCACCAAGCCTGTGCACCTCCTTCCGCAGGAGCCAGAGATCGAGCGGCCTGTGGTTGATGGTGGGAACGGAGACGCGGGGGTTGCCCTGCTGTTTGTGGAAGCGGTAAAGCTGCTCCAGGAAGTTCACCTTTGCGCGCGAAGAGGCTTCGATCGAGTTCAGACGCTGCAGCCGCGTCTTGAACCGGAACCGCTGCAGGACCGGGGTTAGGTCTCGCGGCACAAGCGCAGGCGCTCTGCGGCGGAGGGCAGCGCCACCGCCCACTACGCGCAGTGCGACGGACGACGTACCTCGGTGTCCGTCACGAACGGCATCTTCCACCCTTGCGGGGGCAGGATCTTGCACATGCCGAACCGCTTCCCGGTGTCGGAAATGGAGGCAATGTACGCCATTGGGTCCCTCCACTGCTCCGCGGTGGGCTGGAAAGTCGGGCATTCTGTGAGCCCGAACAGGCGGGGGGCTGTCCTGGGCACCGAGGGGCGCGAGTCCGGAGTCTTGACGGACGAGAGATCGAGCATGGGGGGGACGGAGATGGGGGGGCCGGTGCGGAGCTGGATGCGCTCGCCGGCCTCGTCGTTGATGGTGTCGTTGAGGGTCTCCTCGCCGAGCGTGGTCTGCGCGTGGGTGTGGAGGGCGGCGAGGGCGTCGGTCTTTGATTTGCGGGGGGCGCGCTTGGAGTCGCCGGGGGCGGGGGGAGGTGCGTCTTGGGACGGGTCTGGGCGTTCGATCGGAATAGCGCCCTCGACAGCGATGCTCAGGCACGAGGTGAAGGTAGCAGCGGCTTTGTTGGAAAAATCGGGCGGGAGGCGCACGGGGGTCGGGCTGGGGGCAGATGTGCGGGGAGAGCGGCCCCTGCGGGATGGGCCGCCGCGGGGGGAGGGGGAGGTGTGCATTGTGGCCGTGGAGAAGAAGGAAAGGAAGAGAGACCGTCCGCCGGCCACTGCGACGCGCGACTCTCGCCAACCACGCACAGACGCCCGCTTGCCCGGCGCCTCCAGACACCTTCCGCGTGGGAATGTCCCCCTTCGCTGAGTTCAATCCCCTCGCCGATCTTGCCGCCGCCTGATCGCTGGACTCATAGCCACACACACTCGCCAGAACACGACCGCCCCTCCGGACGGCGCACACCCCCCGCCGCCCCCCTGCACTCATCCTGCGCCCCCAACGCCCCGGACGCCAGCCCAGGACAATCGACACACCCCGGCACGACGCCGTCCGTCCATTTCGACTCCGCGGCGTTCTAAGCTCACCCAATCACCCGCTGTGTCGCCCCTGCGGCGCGCGTCCCGCTGCTGCCTGCCTGTGCCCACGGCACTCCAAGTACGCCCGGCCCCCCACCCTCGCCCTTACGTCTTCGCACAGGGAGCCCTCTCCTTCTTCCTCGCCGCCAGCAACTTCCCCCGCGCGTGGGCGCGGCATGTACGAACCCGAACCCGCCCTGCACGGTGGCTGTTGTGCGCACCACGGGATTGCGCTTCCGCCTCCAGTTTGCTGTGCTCTAGACGCCCACAATTCGCCCTCCGCCCCCTCGCTGCCCTGCGCTCAGTCACGCCCGTTCTGAACTTTGACCTGCCTAGAGGGCAATAGGGGGTGCCTGTGGACTACCTCGTGCTCGAGGCTGATTTTTTGCGCGAAAATTGGGTGAGGTTGGTACATCGCACCCATCGGGCTCACCGCTGAAGATCCTGCCGCAGCGACGACACGTGTTCTCTTCAGCGAGCCGCTGATTCATCTGAGAAACGTTTCCGCTTCGAGAACCTCCCGGAGACGGGATTGAGTTGTGCAGCTGCGCGCCGGTGTCGTCTGTCCATCGTTCGTCTGGTTCGCCCACTTTGCCCTCCACTAGACGATCAACCTCTTATTTCTAATCTATCTATTGCGTCCCTTACTTGCAGTTCACTCATCAAGGTGGGCATTGGACACGGAAGGCAAAACGATATGAAAAAAGCCCCCGGCGAGACTCGAACTCGCAACCTCCAGATCACCGAACACACGTCTGCACGGAACATCAAGCCGGTAGAAGTCTGACGTCATAACCATTAGACAACGGGGGCATCTTTCGCAGTAGCGCCCTTGAACCATGAAAGGTGCAGTCATCCCAACGAGGGTGCAGACGATACCGTCTTCTAACACCACACAGCCTTCACTCATGCCAGCAAGTCGACAGCCGCAAGAAGGGTAGCGAAGGTTGCTGACGCGATGGGTATATAGCACTCCTGCTTCGAGAGCAACTAAATCCAGACGAGTGGTTCACGTCCAAGCAATCATGATCACCGTATGTGAATTCCCTGTACACATGCCACGGCCACTGCAGTACCTATTACGCTGGACCCGAGGACATCGCGCAGATGGACATGAGGCCAAAGAGAGTAGTGACACGAAAAAAACAAACGAATGAGGAAAATGCTAGATGCGATTATGCTACGGATGCGAGATGCTGATGCTGAATGACGATGAGCAAAACAGACTACGAGAAACTACATGACACGAAGAACTTCCAACACCCCCTGGACAGACGATTATGCGGCCTCTTCCGCGGGAGCCTCCGCGTTCTCCTCCTTCTCAGCAGGCTTGTCTGTAACAAGGCATCAGAACACGCTCATCAGTACTCAAAGAATAAAGAGCCTCACCAGACTCCTGCATGTCGGAGGTCCACAACGTAAGGTTGTCGCGGAGGAGCTGCATGATGAGCGTCGAATCCTTGTAGCTCTCCTCGGACAAGGTATCGAGTTCCGCGATCGCATCATCAAACGCCTGCTTCGCAAGGTGGCAAGCACGATCGGGGCTGTTGAGGATTTCATAATAGAATACGGAGAAGTTCAGGGCGAGACCGAGGCGGATGGGGTGTGTGGGGGGGAGCTCGGTGACGGCAACGTCGGACGCAGCCTTGTAGGCTTCGAGCGACTTGTCCGCGCTCTCTTTCCGCTTGTCGCCAGTGGCGAACTCGGCCAGGTAACGGTGGTAGTCACCCATCCTGTGAAACGAGATAAGCGGTCGCCACTAGGAATAGTGATTGAGAAGACAAACATCTTGTGGTAGAACACCTTCGACTCGCCCGACGCGGCCGAGGGAATGAGGTGCTTCTCGAGGACATCCAGGATATCCTCGCAGATCTTCGCGAGTTCGCTCTCGATCTTCTCCCTGTAACCCTTGATCATCTTGACCTGGGCCTCGTTGCCCTTCGACTCCTCCTTCTGCTCGATGGAGGAGACGATGCGCCACGATGCACGGCGGGCACCAATGACGTTCTTGTAAGCGACGGACAGGAGGTTACGCTCCTCAACGGTGAGTTCCTGGTCGGACGAAGCGACACGCTTCATGTTCTCGACCATCTCTGCAACCCAACCCGGGATGAGCGACGCGCCTCGGACCAAGGCCGCCAACGCGATACTCACCCTCATAGCGTTCAGCCTGCTCAGCAAGCTTGGCAAGGTAGACAGAGTCTTCACGGGACTGGGCCATCTGGAAGGATATACGTCATCAGCACGCGCAGAGGACGCGTGAGACGCGTCAAACTCACTGCGATAGGATTGATTGGGGGTGGTGGAAAGGTGGAGGACGGCTGCAGGGAGGACGGCGGTGAGCTCAACGGGGCGGGCGGCGAGCACGAGGAGGCACTGACTGTAGATAGGGAGTGGCGAGGGCAGACGATGAGAGTTGAAAGCAAGCGTGAAGGGGAGATAAATGCACAAATTAAATCCAGAGCTGGGCAGAGGGTTGTTCGGGTTGTGGGCAGAGGGGAAGTCACGTGCGGCTGTTTCCGATGGAGGTTCCTTTGCCGCCCAGGCCCATATCGGGCAAGTGCCGAACCAGGATGATGGCGGCATGTGAACCGCTTGCTTTGGCTGTCCTTTGTGCTTTCGACCGGATCTGTCCTCTGCGCGGTGGACAACGGAACGTGCTGGCCGCTGCATTGTGTGTTCGGGGGGATGTCCGTCTGCTGTGGAAAATCAGGGCGGCTACGACACGGCGGGCGGGGACAGTTGCCACGGCGGCTGGGGCGGTGGAATCTGACGTCTGCCGCGTCTTAATTGATCGAGACGGCCCGTTGCCAAACCCTGGAGCTCCCGCTGCATGCCTCGCGACGGCGCGTGCGGGTCGCGGCTCCCGACGCGGGGCTTGCAGCGGAGAGCGTCGTGCATTCGCTTGGATGCATATGCCACAGTCCAGCAGGGATGGCACAGTGCCCCCTGCATGGCTGGCACGGTCCATGCACGCTCAGACCCTGGTCTCCGATGCGGACAGCCGAGCCCACGTTCTGTCCACTTTCATCATCGGTTGTGGGCTCGACGTGCGAAGGCGCGGTCGTAGCCATCTATACAGCAACGCCGGCGGCAGGGCCCATTTCCTGGTGTACACTGATCGATCTAGAGACCTTCATTGCTCCGACGGCGTCCACTCCGCCACCCAGCCCGCAATCGCCTTCAACGCCTGCCGCTGCACCGCCCGCACCGTCTCGTCCACCGCCGCATTCGTCGTGCTCAGATCGGAGCAGTGGAACCCGTCCGAGATCGCGAGCGGCTGCCCCGGTGTGCTGCGGAAGGGCGTCCCGTCTGCTGCGAGCGTCGCCTCCCTCCACGGGTCACCTGCGTGTGACACACAGTCGAGATATCTGGTTCAGCAGCTCCTCGTCGAGCGGCGGCAAGCGCAGCTCCACTTACGGTGCCCGTTCGCGAAAAAGAGGTGGTTCTCCTGGACGAACCAGCCGTGGTAGGCCCTGTTCGTCGCGTCCACGTTCGGGACCGGCAGCTTGTCCCCCAGGCTCTCGTACGCCTCGGGGAACATGTATGTGCACTGCCGTTCGTCGTAGGCCGGCTGCACAAGCCGCGTCACGATGGTTCGGTGGCCCTTCGGCGCACCCTCCTGATAGAAGCCGACTTCGTTGCAGCTAAGGGCACAAAGTAAGATCGGGCACTCCACAGCAAGCACGGAAGCATACACAATCCAGTTCCACGAGCGTCCTGCGTTGTCGACGGTCGTGTCCGTCCAGTACGGCTGCGTGGGATCATACGTCCCAAGACATGTCCTGTGTTCCCGTCACGGTCAGCCCGGCACAAAGCACGGGCAACGAGCATCATTCACTCACACCACGTCCTCGTCTCCACACACTGATGGCGCATCGTCAGCCTTCAATCCAACGCCAATCACCGCACACATCGCACTCACGCGAATCGTAGTAAGTCTCCGTCCAAAACGCGCCCCACGCCTTCAGGGCATGATCAAGCCCCCAGCCCTTCGGGCCCGCGCTGACGCCGTCCTTCACTTCCAGCGCGTCGCAGAACTCGAAGAACGTGCCGTACCCCGACGACGGCGAGAGCGACTGCCAGTCCCACAGGTTGTTGCGCACTGCACGAGGGCCCGAGACGTCGTCAGCGGTGCGCCCGTGCCGCGAGGGGAGCCGTCAAGCACTCACGCGCCCCCGCGACGTCGTCCAGGTGCGCCAGGGCGCTCATGTTGAACACCGCCTTGATGGAGTCGATCTCCTTCGCGCTCCCAGACGTGAACGCGCTATCGATATGGGCGATGACGGCCTGCACGTCCGCCGAGCAGTTCTTCGGCATGTACTCCAGGATCGGCTGGAAGTACCCCCAGTAGTCGCTGCGCGGCGCCCGTCAGCCTCGGCAGCCCGCAGCGCGCGAAGAGCGGTGCGTACGTACATGATGCTCTCCACGACAGCCGAGGACGCGTACGCCGCCTGGAACAGCCCGCGCTTGCTACACAACGTGGACGCGGGGGGGGGGAGTCGCAGGCTGTCAGCGCGCATCACGCTCACCCCCCGCCCGCCGCACTCACTTGACCATCGTAAAGCTCGTGAGCGCGCCCGAGTAGCTGCCGCCGATGAGGATCCAGGGCGCCTGGCCGGGCTTGACGGCGTCGCCGCCGGGCATCGGGAGCGCGACGTTCTTTGCGAAGTACTCGAGGTCGTCGATCGCCTGCTGGATCGTGTGCACCTGCAGGCTCTTGACCGACAGGTCCGGGTACGGGTTCGAGAGCCCGTAGAAGCGGTGCTCGAGCACGATCGCCGCGCCGTTGAGCTCCTGCGCGATCTGCCCGTTGATCGTCCGGTTCGTGAGGTATCCGCTGTATGCTGCGCGGGGAAGGATGCTGATGAGTATCCTTTGTGGACACGCACGGTCCGCGGGGACGTACGCTGCGCGTTCGACTCTCCGGGCGTGAAGAGAATGATCGGGCCACCTATGCAATGCACACACCCTCATCAGCATCGGCCTCACCGCGCACACGGCGCCTATCGTTCGAACGCACGCACCGCTCTCGTAGAACTCGTACGTCGACCAGAAGCGCTGCTTGAACGTGCCGCGCGCCGGGTCCGTGTGGTCGATCAGCTGGTCAAAGTAGTACGTCGTGTTGTACGGCGGGAGCTGTGTCCCGTTCCGGCTCGTGACGGGCCCGTCGTGCGGCGCGGCGACGCGGGGGACGCTCGGGCGCGGCGCCGCGTTCGCATGCACGCGCCCGTCGCGCGTCCGAGCGTCCGCCACCGCCGCGGCGAGCGCGAGCACGAGGGCGGCGGCCATGGTCCAGATGCGCGCCATCTCGAGCGTCCAACTTCCTGTACCGGCGTGTTCGAGAGTGCGGTTGTGCGATGTGTCAGGCGGTCGCGTGCGTGCGTGCGTGCCGCGGGGCCCGGGCGGGAGCGTAGGGCTGGAGGGGTCGAGGTGCGAGGCCAACGACGCCCCGCCCGGACGTGCGCCGCGAGCTCTTATACTCACTTGCGCGCACACATCAGTATGGGCGGACCGCGCGTTGTGCACTTGTGCCCCGGCGGAATCAATTGATGGCGAGCTCGACGGCCCCGCGCGTCCCGGCGGGACTGGAGATAGGCTGACGGGGTTGCGTTCTGCGGCGAGCGAGGGGCCAGTTGCCATCTGCGCGCGCCTTCGCTGCCAATGGGGCCCTGTCAGCTGCGCGTGTGCGCGCCATGCGGCGTCTGGGCTGCGAGATCGTTCAGCCCGAGCTGCTTCGCGCCTTCCTTGTGTGGCCAGGAACGACCGTACAGATAGTAGCTGCCCGCGCGATACGCAAGGCGTCAGTACGC